ACCACAATCAGACAGGGACTGACCACAATCAGACAGGGTCAGTACCACAATCAAACAGGGACTGACCACAATCAGACAGGGTCAGTACCACAATCAGACAGGGTCAGTACTACAATCAAACAGGGACTGACCACAATCAGACAGGGTCAGTACCACAATCAGACAGGGAATGACCACAATCAGACAGGGACTGACCACAATCAGACAGGGACTGACCACAATCAGACAGGGACTGAACACAATCAGAGTGGGTCAGTACCACAATCAGACAGGGTCAGTACCATTTCAGACAGGGACTGACCACAATCAGACAGGGACTGACCACAATCAGAGTGGGTCAGTATCACAATCAGACAGGGTCAGTAACACAATCAGACAGGGTCAGTAACACAATCAGACAGGGTCAGTAACACAATCAGACAGGGTCAGTACTACAATCAAACAGGGACTGACCCCAATCAGACAGGGACTGACCACAATTAGACAGGGACTGACCACAATCCGACAGGGTCAGTACCACAATCAGACTGGGTCAGTACCATTTCAGACAGGGACTGACCACAATTAGACAGGGACTGACCACAATCATACAGGGACTGAACACAATCAGAGGGGGTCAGTACCACAATCAGACAGGGACTGACCACAATCAGACAGGGACTGACCACAATCGTACAGGGTCAGTACCACAATCAGACGAGACTGACCACAATCAGACAGGGTCAGTACCACAATCAGACAGGGTCAGTACCACAATCAGACAGGGTCAGTACCACAATCAGACAGGGTCAGTACCACAATCAGAGGGACTTACCACGGTATGGAACCAGTATGTTAGGAATGAGATGGCACTTTGCATCTACATCGAGCAGGACAAAGCGACACAGTAGACTCCGAGCCAAACATTTGCCCACTGTCTCCTCAGGAATCTTGTACAGTCGCTCCATTACATCTCTGAAAAACAATGTTTTTCATCATCAAAATTTTAATAAATGAAGTTGATTACTTCAAATCAGCTGGCAGAGCTAAAATTACCTGGAGAATTATTGGTACATTGGGTTAATACACATAATCAAGCAAACAGTTATCCATTTGTTCCACTATACAGCAGCAATGAATTGTCCCAATACCAGAATACACTAATCAAATAAGGACAAAATTGTATTTCAATCCTTAATCTGACCTACAAATGTCATATATATAGCCTGATCATATTAACATGGCAGCTTCAACCATGTTATAACACACTGGACACTATGTTGGAAAACTTAACTTGCATACAAAACTGTTGGAAAACCTACAACACCACAAGCATTGTGTCAAGTCGGCATTCAAACTTAATACAAAGCCCATCATTGAATGTTCTTGTTTACTTGTTGCTCAACTTACTCAAAAAATTCCTTCTTCTCTTTCTGTGACTTTAATGTGATGTCTTGTAGAAATCTTGAGATGGTTATGAAGTCATTTCTAAAATATAATGTAAATACATGATTCAGGAATGACCATTAGAAAAATACAACAAATAAATACTATATGTTAGTGTGCTAGCTATTACAATTACACCAGACAATATGGTCACTTCTCCTTCTATATAATAGTGTAAGATCTGACAACATTGAACCAGGAGTCATATTCTGGTGTCATAATTTATCTACACACCATAATTAAATATCAAAGTGATATCTTTCATCACTTTGATTACTGATAAGTCAGAACAGTTACTGTGCCATCCACTAGAACAGGGAATATTGATGTCTTCTTCAGGATGATTAAAGCGAGAACCATTAAACTAAGAGCTGAAGAGCATTTGTATTAACAACTTAGTGCCAGTTACTTATAACACTTCAAGCTTTTATTTCCTGCCACTCTACCTGAACAATCGGTCATTCAGTAGAGCCTCTAGCTTGGGCCGGGCTTTGGGGTCCGGATTTAAACACTCATCTTGGATCCTCAGCTCAAATGTCTTTGTCATATCCCCTTCAGTATACAAAAAAATATGTCTTAATGTCTGAACATAAAACATCACTCAATAAGTGGTGCCAATGTCTTCATCCTCTACAGTGTAATTACAGCACACAATTCTGTTTACCACAATTGCAAAAGCACCGAGTATTTAAATGTTATAATACACAATAAAATTTGACAGTTTTTAGGACTCTCCGGTGGATACTGATCCCTTAAATGGTATGACCTTTTTTTATGAAATCAGGATTCTAGTATGAACAAAGTTGAACAACATACCCCATGCTTGTGGTAAATATAGAATATTTCATGTTTTTTGGTCAAATTCTAATAATTATCCTTCTACTGGAATATTTTTAGAGATTTACCACAAACCCCTTTGACAAATGATTATGTATAAAACCCAACAAATTTGGCCCAGTATTTTTATAGGAATTTGATGAGGTGACTGATCGAGCACTTTGTGTTACTTGGTCTGCCTAGATCTCACTAGGAAACAAGTATTAATTGTTATGGGATCATTACAGATGTCCCCCAAACATTGCCGCAGCTATGATCGCAGTGCCAAAATACACTTACATACCAAATTTGAGCAAAATCGACCAATATTCAATTTTGACCAATCAGAGGCAGTGGCGGCCATCTTTGTTAACCGATAGGTGTCATTTGCAAACCCCCTTACCATGATGAACACTTGTGTAAATTTTCATCAATTTCCGTCCAATAGTTTTTGAAAAATGTGTTTTACGACAGGAGAAGAAGAAATAAAGTAAAAACACTTTGTTTGGGGGACACAACTAATTCTGAAGCAATTTTGTTCAAATAAATAATAAAGTTTATTCCCACTTACCTAAGTCCTCAAGTTTTTCCAACAGTTCCTCCACCATTACAGCAAAAGCATACACATCCCGTGCAAAGGCAAGTTCTGGAGCAGCCTTCATATTCTCCTCCTATCAATTTCATTGATTTAATTAACCTGGTAATATATCTCTTTCAGCACAGTAAGAACAGCTCGTAAGTGTGAAGTTAGAAATGTACTTAAATCAATATAACATTGTAAGTATGAATGTATCAACATATTCTAAATGATATTCTGTGAATTGGACCCTGACCTTAAGGTAATAGGATTGTGTCGCCATTTCTCAGTAGAATTTCTTCAAATTTTGTAGTAATATTGCTTTGAAGTAAAGAAAATGTTCTGCCACAAAAAAATATAGGTTGTCATAATTTTAAGGAATTTAAATGGAAATTTATGTAAAAAGGAGTGACTTTTGAAAAAAAAATGAAAAACACATTCATTTGCAAAATAATGTCAATAAAAATGATACTGCCATAAATTAGTATTGCATTAATGTATATTAATTTAATAAATGCTGAAATTATGTCAAATAAACTATCTATAAACGATTAAAAATTGACATTTTATAATAAAACCATATGCACATTGTAATTGCAGGTAAGAGTTATCTTTCTTGAAAAACTTCACAGTAGTGAAATAGGTAGCCAGTTACCTGAAGTACAGAAAAATGGATACATGTGGCTCATTGATAAAAATTACCTGAATTAATGCCTGCATTGCTTTGAAATACTTTAATATTGAGAGAAAACACTGTTCTGTCATTAATAAACATACAATATTCATCAGTTTAATATTAAACATTAGAATATGTGGAAATTGTGATACTGTCTCCCTACATTGGATTTTCAACTAGGGATGTACTTCCTACTTCTGTTTATCAATACACTACTATGACCTTAAATCAATTTTTGCACACACAAAAAAAGGAAAAATAGCATGTTTGGTATTTTCGTGTAATTATAGTTCAGAAAAGATGTAAGAAAGCACGATTTTGATTTAAATACCAACAAAGAAGCAACCTGTCTATATTTATCATGAAGTCGTGTATCAGCAGCTGTCATGAATCCTACTTCTAAATGTCAGGAAAGGCTTTTTTAAGAGATTGGAAAAATTAAGGTTGAAAGAGGTACAATACGGGGCTGATATTCAATTTGGAAATTAAAGGGGCCCTTTATCTGTCCCTATAAAGTCCTGGCAACATCACTAACATTACAGATTTATCCACACAGCTGTGGAATCCTACCCTTTCCTCTGGTGCGAGAGCCTTTGGACTCCTCTGTTTCCTGGCTGCACTGAGGTACTGGGGAGTAGCGTCCCCAAACTTACAGGCATGCTCCATACTCCCTAGCTTCCACTGACCCGTCTCAGTAACAAACACGGACTCCAGACTGATGTTGTTGTGGCACATCCCAGCCTAAGTGGGACCAATTTTTTTTTTTAATTTAGCACACTTTCTTTATTTTTCATTTCAGTTATGCATTTGATTTTTTATAGCCCTTTTGTCCAAAAGCACGTGTCATTGAATGCCTTATGTTCATGCTAGTATGAATGAAGTGAGCCCTTTATTTAGGGATTTTTCCATGTTTATTCCATAATATATAGGAGACATGTGAAAGTTTTATTATGTCCAGCTGGTCAGCACAGTTTAACGATGTAAACAGCAAATAATGCTTACAATTACAACAAAACATTACATCTAGTTTTATTTTGTACAAGTTGATAAAACATAATGTTTGACACTGCCTTATACTAGTATGACATTAACATTTAAGTCTGTCTAATTGACCACTGTCATCATAAGTTTGTACATTCTTTAATTGGGAAAGTGTTTTTGTGAAATATAAAATGTATGTACCCCTAAAAATCTCATGCTAAATTTAACCTAAATGTTTAACTATTCAAACCTTTTCATGTAAAAAAGACAGTCCCTCCAAAACAGAGAAGAGTCCAGCACATATCTCAATAGAGGAATGGGTCTCCAAAATACTGAGGACAGGCACCACCCGCTCAGCCACAACGTAGGTATGACTGGATCGATCTCCGGAGGCAAGGAATCTCACAATACTGGGATGTCGTAAACTTTTCAGATTCTAAAAAAAAATTGCAATCAAAGATAAAATTTTACAGTAGTAAACCAGATGCTATCTATCAACTCATACAAGAAACAGAAACCAGGGCATTGTCTTGACGTCATTTTTTAACATCCTTGCAGACGTTATCTCAATATTTACTTTCACCACCTTAAAAAACAAGGACATCAAATAAACTTGGAGTTAACATGCAATGATGCTCAAAAGATTAGGGCACAGAAACAGGTTCTCATATCACTACAATGTGCATGACTTTTTTTTGCATAGGTTGTTGTTCTATTGCACACTCTAGACTCAAAAAAGTCTACATGAGGGACTACACATCGAATGTTAACGCCACAGAAACCTTCGCTTTTTATAAATTAGAGATTCGTCTGGGGGCCAGATTTTAATGAGACCATATTGACTCAAAAAAATCTTGATTCATGTGATAGTCAATCTTGAATGAGCTTTGATTAAAACTGGTCATGGCTACTCATTTTTTATTTTTTGTTGGATCATGGATGTTTACCTAAAATTAATTTTAGGTTAGCCCGAGTTTCCTCTGGCCATGACTTAGATATTTTGACAGATAGATGTCTGGTGTGGGTTAGGGTAACCCACACCAGATATCTTCTTTCGTTATCCAATCCTCCTTCAATCATTTGAAGATTACGGACTGCTGTGTGTGCTGTGCAATGCGTGGATTTAAAAACAGTGAGGTTAAAACTATATACATATGGAGTGGTGCTTAGAGGAATGTAAGGAGTACAGCTGGAGTTAGCTGTACTCGGAATACATCAACGAATGGAGACATCACCACAGTGGGTGGGAGAAGATTCCACTAGTGGCAGCGCGTCTCTGTACCATTTCAAGTTTGGATATTGAGTCTGATGTGTGTGGGTCCCACAGGGTACAGCCGTATTCTAATTTTGGGCGGACTAGTGACAGATACGCTTTACTTTTAATGTCATTGTTTCCTGTTTTGAGATTTCTTTTCAAAAAGCCTAAAGATCTATTTGCTGCAGCGGATGTATTTTCTATATGTTTGGACCATTTTAAATCAGATTGAAGTGTACCTCCCAGGTATTTAGCTGAAGTGACAGTTTCTAGGGTATGCCCGTTGAGAACGTATTTATGAGAAAAAGGATGTTTTTTGGATGATATAGTCATAACTGTACACTTGTCAGGATGGAATGCCATTAGCAAGTCTCTTTCCCATTTGGCTGCAGCGTCAAGATCTTGTTGTAAAAGCATGCAGTCATGGTCAGATCTTATTTCTTTATAAATAATATTATCGTCCGCAAAAAGTCTAAGTGTACTATGGTTGAGGTATTCTGGGAAGTCATTTATATAAATAAGGAAAAGAATTGGTCCTAGGATTGTACCCTGGGGTACAGCAGATGTGACAGGGGCTGTATTGGAGGATTCACCATCTATTATGACTTGTTGTGTTCTATGAGAGAGGAAAGCCGAAATCCAGTTTAGTGTTTTGTTCCGAATTCCATAAAATTTTAGTTTGTATAGGAGACGTTTGTGTGGGACTTTATCAAAAGCTTTAGCGAAATCCATAATTATTAAGTCAGTTTGAATATTTTTATTGTATGATTGCGAAAGTTCGTGGACAAATGACTGAAGTTGAGATTCGCAGGAGCGTGCTTTTCTAAACCCATGTTGTAAATCATAAAGTATGTTGTGTTTTTCCAGGTGTTTCATGGTGTGGCTAGTTACTACATGTTCCAAAATTTTACAACAGATACAAGTTAATGAAATGGGTCGATAGTTTTCGGGTTTGTATTTCTCTCCCTTTTCGTAAATTGGTGCCACATTTGCATGTTTCCAATCCTGAGGAACTTGGCCTGAATTTACTGATTTATTAAAGATGATAGTGAGGATTGGAGCTATATGTTTTTGTTGTTCTTTAAGAATTCTGCCACAAATCTTGTCTGGGCCACTAGCTTTATGGGGATTTAGATTAGCAGGAGTTTTTCAAAGGGGCGATATGCCGGTATTTTCTGTGCGTATAGATTTTATGTACGAAAAGAGATTTTTTGGTTTGGAGTCACGAGATACTTTTTGGTCGGGATCAGTAATTGATATGTCACAGATAATTTTTTTCTATGTAGTTCCAATATGCTTGTCTCTGATCTTTTTGAATTTGCATTTTTATTGCTTTATATTTATTTGAGTATTTGGGGTCTTTTCTTCTTTTGTATAGTTTGTTTTTCTTATTGATAAGTTTCCGAAGTTTGTTGTGTACTGTATCCAGGGTAGTCTGTTTTTGTACGTTAGCCATCAGGTCCAGTACACTCTGCCGATTGAGCTATATAGCTGTAAAGACCTATAATAGCTCTATTGACCTATCTGAAATAGGTCTTTTGAGCTATTTTCAAGTGATTTTCTTTTTTAAGGAAAACGGAACTAAGTCGCATTTAAAAGAAGATTGTATCATTAGGTTGATAACAAAAGACATTAAATATAAGTATTCTTTTTAAAAAATAATGATGTAAAGAAATCGGAAATTTTACATTTATGAAAAATGAAAATAAACATCTAACTGT